TTTTTTTTTTTTTTGCTAAAATTTTAACAAAACAGTTATGAGAGTTCTATGAAAATATTGTCGAGTAAAGTCTGTCCGTCTTCCCTGCAGGTTCTGATGGGAAATTACTCATTTGGACTGAATAGTGAAGATGATTCATTTAAATTTGTGGGGTACTGCCCTCAAATAAATCCTCTTTGGCCAGATATTACATTGGAGGAACATTTTGAAATCTATGGTTCTATCAAAGGAATGAGTCAGACTGACGTAAAAGAAGTCTTAAAACGGTAAATGGTTTAGTTAGGGGGGAAAAAAAAGGAAAGAAAGAGAAATAGAGCTAAAACCTCAAATATTTTATAATAATCTTGTCACTTTTTCATCTGTGGGCTGTTTCTGCAGTGTCGCAAATGCCCTGGATTTAAAAGACCACCTGCAGAAAACAACAAAGAAACTAGGAGTAGGATTGAAGCGTAAGGTATGAAAAAGCTTTTAAAGCTGTGGTCTTGGGTGCTTTCAGGAGGCTGTAGCACAATTATCCTTCACCTTTCCTTTCCTTTCAGCTGTGTTTTGCATTGAGTATGCTGGGCAACCCTCAGATTACCCTGTTAGATGAACCATCTACTGGAATGGATCCAAAAGCCAAACAGCACATGTGGTGAGTGCTCACTGGTGCCACAGGCTTTTATATAAAAGATTTTTTTTCCTGTTTATTTGTTTATTATTCTTGTGAACATTGAGAAAAGCCAAATACGGAGAATCAATATTGTACCTCCTTGCAAGGTGAACCTCATCTGTGTCCTTTCTCATAATAGTTTAAAGATTAAAAGACTAGAAGTCAAGAGAAAGGAATTTTCCAAGTAAAAGAGCATATAGAACAAGTGAGTTTTGAGTCTTATCTGTGAGAAATTCAGGTGTTAATTGTGGCTTTGAGAGTAATGCTACTCCTTGAAGTAAGTGCTCTTTTCACACCAAACCAAGATTTTCTGTAACCTGTCAGATGGTTTCAGCATGTCCCTTAGAAAGAGACATTAGTCTGCCC